CCAACACCAACACCAACACCAACACCAACACCAACACCAACACCAACACCAACACCAACTGCTGCGCCCTGGAACATCCAACACAAGCCTGACCTCTAAGATAAGACGTCAAGTAAGCAACCCACAAGCTTAACTCACCACTCACCACAACCGCCAACAACAACGAATTGCACCACTTCGGACCCCACCATCCAGAAACAGACCTCAACTTCACTGCCACCCAGCCTCAACAACCAGAATTGTCCATACAATAAGGACACCGGCTACAACGTCTTGATCGACACCCAGAAAAGACACACACCAGCACAGAAAACGACACGCTTGAACAGAATTGTTTGCCTACTTGTCAATGACAAATCGGCGTTCGCTGCTTGCAACGTTCGCGAGGTGGGAGTAGACTCGTCAGCAGTTATAGCCCAACCAACAACCATACTCAGTGGTCAGTGGCCGCTTCGGACGCATCGAAAATATCCACGACAGTGCCGCTTACGGCTCTCATGTCCATCCACGTTCGACGGTTTATTGGAGGTGGTCGACGCGAGAACCAGTGCGAGCGGCCAGGAGGGAAGAATAGCTATGGAACACTGTCTCACGGCACAGAGACCTGATATGAATGTTTTATGTGAACACGGCCGACTTGCGCGACGGAATCGGTATGAAGGAGGATACTGGCGATCAGAAGGGCTCTATGCGCATCACAGATGGAGGTGCTCAGGCGATGCTACGTGATACATACAACTGACTGCTAGTTCTATGCGAAAGGCAGAGAAGTGAATGGGCGGACACAGATAGCCATTGTATATGTGAATTCCACTGTCTTCACAACTGTCTTTTCCTGCCACGACACAATCCCATCACTCCACGTATTGCATTCAATAGCAATTGACACGACCTCTATGAATTCACTACCTATAGCACCTAGTGAATGTGAACGGCCTCGCGTTGACCGCTCCCCTTGTCCTATTTATTTCCCGTCGAACTCCTTCCACCTTCCTACCCCCTTCAAATCTTGAATCAATCCCAACTTTCGCCCTGGTATCTAAATATCAACATAATCATCCATAAACTTACTCACCACACTTGCTTCTATCGGTCGCGCTCTATCCACCTCCGCCCTCACCACCATGTTCCCAAAGTCTACCTACACACCTCCTCTCCTAGTCACCATGGACAACCACTTTTCACGCCAAAACCAGAGTCTCATCCCCTTGTCGGCCAAGCCCTTCACCCACGCAAAGGCCGAAGCATTCGCCAAGGCCAACGCATCCAACGACGGCAAGGTCCCTGCTAAAGGGTTCACACCATACATTGACATGAGTAGCGTCAAATTCTTCGGCCCTCTCGACGAGGTCGATGCCCAGAACCGTCCCCTGGCGCCTTCTGCGGCGTACGTACAAAATTCGGCGCGCTGTGAAGGAGACATTCGAGGAAGCACGCCAGAAGGCGGCTTCGGAAAAAGCCAAGGAAGAGAGAATCGCGCGAGTCGAGGCGGACAACAAAGAGCATTTTGCTCGCAAGAGAGCGGAGGAAGCTGAGCGCCAAGCTCAAGTGCAAGTCCTCAAGGCCGAAAGAAAGGCTCGAAGCATCGTGACCCGGGCGGCAATCACGCCTCTCGGGAAGAGAAAGCGCCACGCCGTCGATCAAGTGGGAGCCGCCGGTCGCAGACAGTCTGTTTCTCGATCTAGCATCTCTTAGTCGACGGCCATCAACAGTGATAACGGACAGACCGTGAGTGAAGATGAAAGCAGTGACTCCGTGTGTATATCATGGTGCCTAACATGGTCAGGTGAACGTTGATGCCACTGGTGGCACAAGAATCTTTCATGGCGAAGGGCGGCACAGACCGATAATCATCGATTCGGACGATGAGGAAGACTTGCTCCCCAGGCCTAAACGCCGATGTTCCAGCAAAAACAGTTTGCCAGAGGAAGCCGTTGACGAGAAGGCAAATGAAGGCTCCAAGAGCAATTCAGCCGATGGTCGCAGCGACAGCCAACTTGCCAAATGCAAAAAAGTTAGTGATCCAAAGCAAGGCTCTCTTGACCACAGGCGCTGACAACCACAGAATGATGCCAATGATGCCGACCCGTCGGATGACAAGAATTTGATCGAGAAGCGCCGAAAGAACCGGCATGTGCGTCGAGAATCGGACAAGGAAAACACGCTCACCAAGGTTACCAGCAAGGTGACCACGAAGGCCAGGGGCAGCAACAACGCTAGAAACAGACAATGAGTGATTCTTGGGCCCTGTAGCACCAAAAACTTCGTCGGTTGCTGGAAGGGAACTGCCTATCAGTGCCAGGCTTGTCCACCGTTTGATCGATGGGGTAGCTAGATATATAGAAAGACTGGGCCAGCACCAGTGCATAGCACGTCTCAATACGTCCAGGGCGCCATAGGGAATCTCCGGAGCCACTCTAAATGCAGACTATTGAGGAAAGGAAGTCAAGCGATATCGATTTCTTGGTGATACAAAAGTAACAAGAATACGACGAAGTTGAGGAGGAATATTTCATACAAGCAGAGACAACAGGAAGAGATCTCGACTTCGGCAGAGATAGAATGGCAATGAGAGCTCAGGTACTCTGTCTTTTTATAGCTGAGAGCAGTTGAAATTTGGAACCATGTTGTTCTGTCGCTCTGATAGTCTGTAGCAAAAGGAGAGGCAGGTTCGAGAGGAAGAGGAAGCAGAAACTGAGAGACATTTGTTTTCTCCGCAGTGCTGCCTCCCCGCCACTAACCAACCAACTTCGTCAACATTCATTCCCAATTGAACAACTTGGCTTCGTTCCTTGCAGGAAACGCACCACAACTATTCAACTACCTACGAGACCTCCGTCCGCTGTCACTTATCCCACAGTCGACACAGCCCACAATGAAACTCGTCCCCTCTCTCCTCGCCGCGGCATTGGCCCTGGCCCACCTCGTGTCCTCCACCGGTCTCGAGATCGACTACCAGACGCCCGACATTGAATGCACACGAAAGACCCAGAAGGGCGACAAAATCGACGTCCACTACCGGGGCACGTTGCAGAGCACGGGCAAGGAGTTCGACTCTTCGTATTCAAGAGGGACACCGCTGAACTTTCAGCTGGGCGCGGGGAGGGTTATCAAGGGGTGAGTGTGCGCTCTTTTACTTTGCCCCTTTTCCATATGCACTTTTGGCTTGCCAGTTTCTTTGCGCTAAAGTTCCGTGGCTGACTGTGTATCTGCACTGGACTGTAGATGGGACGAGGGGTTGCTGGACATGTGTATTGGGGAGAAGAGGAAGCTGACGATCCCGCCCGAGCTGGGATATGGCGAGAGGAGCGTTGGGCCGATTCCCGGGAACAGCGTGTTGGTCTTCGAAACCGAGTTGATGGGGATCAAAGGCGTCAAGAAGGACGAGTTGTGATCGACGAGAAAACTATTGATGAGAACTTGCGATGCTCTTATCGGTTCGGGCGGTGACCTCTGCTGCATCGTTGGAATATGACGGACGGGGAAACACATCATCACAGTCAATGAGGTCCAAAAGGTATACCATCGAAAAGGCGTTTGAAAACTGGAACGGTGAGTCTCCAGTTTTGCAGGTTGTCTAGATAACAATCCCGCTGTCTGTCAAGGTTTCTTGTTCGGGACGAGAACCATGACAAGCGCTACTCGATGACACCGTTGGGGGTTTGCTCTGGAGAATTTGGCATTCAGGAGTGGCCCCGGAACGCATGTGCTTCATCCTTCCTGTGATGAACAGCTACCATGACTGGCAACAACATGCAACGGGATTGACGCCGTTTGGAGAAGGAAATGAGGTTCAAGTTGATGGACGAGGAACATACACATAGAACTTCGGCATCGCTCATTGCTTCGATCACATCCATCGCAGCTGGGGTATCATAAAAAATGCCATATCTATAACTGTGGATCGGTTGACTCTGCTGGAGTAGTCCCAAAACCTTCTCTTGTGTAGGTGTGACGCCTCGCTGAACCGGTCTATGCCATAGCCCGTTGCCGCAAAGAACTTCATGTCCTCAGTAATCCTCCAGTCTATGCTTGTAGGACAGGTCCGTGGTGGTTCCGAAAATCTCACATACTCGGGACATGTTTATCAATCCATATCATCCAGGCCCCCGCTGTTCCCACTTGTTTCCTCGCCCTCGCCGACGAGTATTCCGACAAGACACTCGCTTAGCATAGCGTCCCAATTCACCCAAGGATGGACCTCCATGAACAACTTGACAGAATCCTTCCCGGCGCCCCTCATGATCTCACCCGCCCCGCCAGGGTGGAAGGGGATGTACGGTGTGATGTTGTACACTTTGCCTTGGTAAACCGTCCAGGCATCTGTTCCTTTTCTTCCGTTCTGCCGCTTGAGTTGGGCTGGCGTAACTCGGATCAAATGCTCTCCCGGCGCGTCTTTGCCTCGGAGGTGGCTGTTCGGGTTCGACGTGAGCGCTGCCCAGTCGAGCGGAGAGTGGCCTGGTTCAAGGATCACTTTCCGTGAAACTTGCTTGCCAGGAGGCATGATGGAGGAAGTCGGTGCGAGTGAAGCATTCGGGAGAGGCTTGATTGGAGGGACGCGCAAGGAGGCCGCTGCGGAGGGAGGAGGTCGAATGAATCCATTGCCGGGTCGAGGTGGCGCAGGTATCTTATCGATGTTTGGAGGTTTCAGAGGCGGCGGGCTTGATGGCCTGGCCGGCTTGGACAGTAGCGGAGGAGGGGGCATCCTTTCACTCTTGGGGTTTGTCTCGTCCGCCATCTTCCCAGGTGGTTCATCGTCTCCGGGTTGAGAGATTTCCAAGCGAAGAGGGGACATATCGAGGGATTGTTGAGGGCCCGGCTTTTCTTCGTCAGGGATGTCCGACTCTGGCTGGGGCTCTTCTATCTCTTTGTCCACGGGTGCGAGTGCGGATTCATGGTGCGGCTTTGCGGGTATTTCTAAGACTTCTTGGACATCCTGTTTAACAAAAATTCTGTAGAGCGCGTATCCTGCTATGATAGTCCAGCATCCAGCGGCGAGCCAACCCATTCTACGAACCGACCCAAGGAAATCGTTGCGGAGAAGACGTGGAAATGGGACAGCGAATTCATGGCGCCAGAGGCAATCACTGTCAGGGTAGGCAGAAGACGTCCATGTTGTTGTAAAGAGTTTGGAGACAAAGGCGCAGATAATCTTTCGAAGTCGTTGGTGAGCCTCGTCCACATGGAGGATGGGCTGCGGGCGCGTGTTGGTGTTGAAATCAAATGACGGCCTATTTTCGGATGCAGAGGACAAGCGACGGTCATTTCATCCCATCATTGATTCGGTCTTTCGAACCTCTATTTGCCTTTCTTGGTTTCATCATGACTTTCACTTTTCTTGCCTTCAAGGGTCGAGTCAAGATGCCCAAAGTCAAAGCGGTGCCGTCCTCCGTCCGCCGAGTCTCGACCCCTCAGTTCGCATGATGGAGTTTGACACCCGTTGCTGTCTGGTTGCGTTCGCTGCAGCAACTATCATTCGAGTCCCCCTCGAGCCGCGCCTTGACAACAAGGCAGAATGCTACTGTCAGCGAGGCGACCTCCAGTTCCCGTGCCACGAGTCTCTTTGTCCGGAAATAAACAAATTTCGTTTCCTGCTCAGGCTTCGGACGATGACCAGCGACGGTCTTAAGTGGGCTGGATGGGTGACATTGGGTACATCTTTGTCCAAGGAGATGCTGCGTAATAATGGAGGGTTTCCTGGTTGTTTCCGGAGCCATACACGTCCAGACAGCATGAGTGTCTCCTGTCTAAGCACCGGTTTTCAGCCGCGGACAGTGGTGAGTTGGTACAGCATGAGCACTAGGAGGGTCGCAAGGCAATAGGCGGCAGATTCGCTGTTGATGCCTAGCATTGGGCAGAATTGCAGAAGCAGAATACAGACAGAATACAGAAGAGAATAAATGAACTCGATTCGGTTTTCTTCACACAAGTCTTGCTCTCCTTTCACCGTCTGTGCTTCCCTTCTCATTGTCAGTTCGTTCCCGGATCTCCGTTCGGTTCAAGCAGAGGACCCTTTCCCTCTTGTCTCGTCACCTGAGGGGCTGGACCTTGCTCGGAAGCACGGCTGAAGACACACACTCACGCACGCAGTGGGTGACAAGGTTGAGACTGCATGCATACTTGTCAGGTGCCCAGTGGTGGCCAGGTTTGAAGCTGACAGTCCGAAACAAGCAGGACTGTTGAAGTAGGAAGTTGCTTCGACTACTGCCACGGCCACGGCCACTGCAACTGCAACTGTTGCTGCTGCTGCCACTCCTACTGCCACTCCTCCTCCTCTTCCTCATCCTCCTCATCATCTTCCTCCTCTCACTTCTTCAACCCCTCCTCTTCGAAATCCAGCCTCCGATGCTACAACACAGCAACCAATCACCCTCCACCACTCGGCTCCTACTGCAACTTTGACCAGCATCTCGTTTCCCTTCTCCAACATCGGCTTGTCACTGGTGTAATCCTGAAGCACAGGCCACAATACCAAGATAGGCGCCTCGGCCAACACCTGAAACCTGCCTTGCTTTCAACCTGACTCCTCCGCCTCCTCTCCACCCTCACAAGCCTCCCGCCGACATTTCAGCAAATCCTCAATACTTTCTGCCCCTCCCCGATTCCCGACCTAGTCCAGGTGCGTCAGGCCAGGGGTCCGTCGCTACTGGCCAAAACCGGGCACTAAAGGGATTCTGTCCTCTCCCCCTCGCATGACCATCCAGATTCCGTTACAACCTTACTTTCACCACAACCCTCTCACCACTTTCACCTTCACCAACTGCATTCTTCTTCCAACCTCCCATTCTCCTAGACGCCCATTGTTCATTGTTGGCTGGATCCCAAAGAAGGTATTTTACGGCTTTGTTGCACAGAATCTGCGGTGTTCTTTGAGGACATGTATCCATAGCTGCCCCAACACTTCGACCGATCTTCGCTGCAAAATCCGTGGTCAACCAAACTCGAAGCCGCGTCCATCCCTCTTAGCCACGGAGTCTATTTTCTACCGTTGCATGGGCTCCGGAGCCCTATCTGAACATTCACACCTGCCTACCTGGACACGGTTGCGTGACTACTGCGTTCAAGGTTTTACTCTCGTGCATGGAGTACTATCCCCATCAGATGTCGTCTCCACCCCACTACGACTATAACCCTTCCGGATCTCAAGCTCGTTCTGGCAGAGAAACTTCCTCTTCTGATGACCATAAGTACAAGCGTCGCAGGATCGATCTCAAGAGCGCCCCTCACAGACACATGGCCGGCCCTTCACAGCCCCCTAACGGTTCTGTGCCTACATCAGTCCCATCCTCGGGAGACTTCTTCGGAGACAATTTCCCGGGGATACCACCTTTGATGCACGCTGGCATCTTCATGGAGGAAGATGCAGCTCTCGAGTACCTGTCTTCAGGCTCCGGCTTTGCTCAAGATCTGCGCGGCTTCGACTCTCCCTTCAACTACCAGAACTTGCTTCCTACCAACCAACCTCCACGACCCGTCAATCTGACCAGTTATCCGTGTCCACCTGGCTTTCGACAGGATTCAGGCGTCGATTTTGCTCGACCACTGCCGGGGAATATCTTCCACGATCACAGAGAGTCGGACGAGCGACTGAGACAATCACAAGGCTACTTGGCAGAGCCTTCTAGTAGTGTGGCGGCAGCCCCCTTCGGTTATCCTGTTGAATGGGGTCAGTCTTCCTCCTTCGTCCAACAGTTCCCGAGAGGTACGGCTGTTTCTCCCCGACGAGAACCGCCGAGCTCCGCCGCCAGCCCGCAGAAACCGCCTATTCTGTTGTTTCTCACTCGCGCCACCAAGGAGAGTATCGAAGCGTTGGAAGAACACAAGAGGGAATGTCCAGCATGCCAACTCGAATTCGAGCAGGATCATTTCATGGCCGTCATGACTTGTTGTGATACCCCTATGCACGCTACCTGTCTGTCCGCCTGGGTCAATTCTGCGACATACTCCAAGAGCAAGGCATGTATGAAGTGCCGTAGAACCATCGATGCGAGACGCATGTTGAACAATGTTGTTCCGCCAGTCAATGATAAGAGCTGGGACGAGGGCGTTGAGTTTAATGCACCGGAGTCGGTGAAAGGGGACACCAAGATTGAACTCAACGTCAGTGCGAAGCCGGAACGTTCAAGGATGCGACGATGTGGAAACTCGATGTATTATCCAAGCTACAGATCAGGACGTACTTCCTTTACGGTGCCCGAGACACTGAGTCCGGAGACCAGAAATGTGGTTCTCCAAGTCCACGAAGAGCAAATGCGCATGACCGACGAAATGCGACATCGAAATCGGGTGGCCTGTACGGAAAGCAACCGAGCGAATCAAGAAGATATCAGCGCGAATCGTGCACTCCTTGAGGCTCAAGTTCGAGGCGACCCTGTGGATCTCACGCCGTTCATCAGGAGGTGCGAGAAGACCAAGTTGGCAAGGGACAAGGCGAGAGAAGCATACCAGAGGGTTCAATTGGAGTTGGAGACCATGTCCCGATCGCATTCCCATCGATTAAGCACCATGCTTGATGAATATTGCATGGAGCGATGTCGCGTTCGCCGAAGTGGGGAGGAAGGGCCGGCTCGAAGCGTACCTCTTCGAGTGGTCAATGGAGAGCCATCAGACGCGCAGTCCCCTTGATTCTTGAAATTAAAGAGGCTTCCAGGCGAAGAAATGGCGTCTGAAGTGAGGACGTCAACCTGAGCACTAGCTACTTGACGACAGCTTTGCAAGAGAGCGTTTGAGGAGGCTTGGGAGACCGAAGTCTCAACTATTGAGGCACGACATATGGCGATACGGTTAGAGGGGAGAGAGGATTATTGTGGCAGGTCTAAAGAGATCTGCGTGGACAAGCAGCGGGATTCCGCTTGTAAGCCCACCGTTGACAAGGTCAGTTCGACAAAATCGATGGATGAATTGGTTTGGCCAGTTGGTGCCAACTGGCATCTCACCAAAAAAAAAGACGACGACCAGAACGAAGTTCACAGCTACGAACATGGGAGCGGACGTACACAATTTGGCCCCAGCAGACACATTCATCAACACTAATGACGATACGATACATGAATTTCACAGGGTTTGGACTTGCATTGGAGAACGGGGACTGAGGCATACGCGCACAAAGGACATACAAGATATGGCTTGCTGCATCAGTGGTACTCTTCTTTACTGCCCTGACTTGACATTGGGCCTGGATTCGAGGTTGCACTGGTAATGGAATGGGAATGATACTGCGATGGGCTCGGTTTCAACCTTTCCTCCTGATGTGACAGAGCTGTTACCGTTAGCGGCGTTACAGGCCGTGGGCATTCAAAGTCAATATCGCATCACATCGCTTGAGATCGAAGTTATGTGCCTATGACGAATTCATCCATCTGCACCGGTTATTGGTTGGTTTCTCGGTCTCCTCTGTAGATAGTCATAGTCAGATTGCAATGAATTAATGTGGAACGAAGAGATTATGGAATCCAGCAGGTGGTTGCCCGCTGAAGATGGATTTATATCAGGTGCACCGAGTCTCGCGCGGATGTACAAGGCTGGATGCAAACAGCGGACGGCGATCGAGGCCCGCCGCAATACAGGGCAGTATACACGCTGGATTCAGCCCCACACCCTGTGATCGGTTTACTGATATAAAGTCCAATTACGCAGGAGACTCGTACATTGACTCTTGAAATGGACCCGCGCGATCCAGACATTTTACACCTCGACCTGTCGGTCTCAGGTGGACCAACATCTCCTGCTTCGGAATCTGCAGGCAGAGTCGCCAGAACATTGGTATGAATGGTACTTCCAACCTGGCTAGCAACTCGCTCTTTTGCAGTCCCCGGGTGGCGGCGTCGGCAACCTCGTCCTCGTCAATGTACATGTTTTCGCCGACATTCCACACAGAAGCTCCTTCTCGTTGTGCTCATAGATCTTGATATACCATAGTCCCACAGCATGCAGGTGTACTGCTCACGCTGCGAAGTGATGTGGCCTTTGTCGCCAAAACAACTTCGAGTTGATCACCGGGCAGCGGCAGAGTCATGGACGGATCGCATGTTCAGACTGTCCCAGTAGTCCGAACAGGTCCTCTGAATCTGTTGTCGTTGTCTGTTGGAAGCACCAGACATCGAGACGAAAGGGTTCGGCGGCAGGTCGACCGTGTCTGGCCTGGCCTGTGAACCTCCTCGTCCACCGAAAAAGGCGTCTATCGTTCTCTGGTTTGATTGAGCGGTCTGCGGTATCTCCGCCTCTGGAACATCGTCGGTCATCTCGGCGTCGGCTTCGTCCATCGGCAAGCCGTCTTCACCGAGTGATATCACGTCCGACATCGGCATTGCTTCGTCGAGATGCAGCCGTTGGGCTTCGTACAGCTTCCTCAAGGTATTCTCGTGAATTGTCTCCTCGTTCGGTCTATCGTCGCGATATCTCTTGCGCGTGCGGCTGTTCAGGTAAGGGACGGCCTTGACCTTGAGGAAGTCATAAGGGTGCGCGTCGCAGTTGGACGAGATCGTGCTGCTGGTTGAGGACAGAGGGGATGATGTCACGGAGGGCGTGGAAGGAATGGTGTTTGGTTGGAAGTGGAACATGTCCTCCTCAAAGACGGAGGCTTTTCGTTTGGCGCTCATGCTTGCTGGAAGGTCTCGGTCCAAAATTCGCTGGGAGAGGGTGGGATGGCTGTGGGAGCAGACGAGGTTTTATGAGGAAAGACGCGTTGGAGACACGGCAACGAAGACACTTTACGCGTCTGACACGCGTGAGAAATGGGAGGCTGGGAGAGCTTCAGGCCGCCGATGGAGACGACGATCGGTTCTGCGGGGGTAACAACACTATCCAAATATACAATAAATGGATACAGCAATAAAAAAGGACATTGGGAGCTGATGAGAGGCAATTGAACGATTCCGAAGAGTGATGCATTTTCAATGAAAGGGAAAGGAGCCTTGGGCGTAGTTGACCTGCGCTGGGGGGCTTCCCCGCAGCAGACGCCCAGACTGCTCGTACGAGGCGAAGACAACCCCGCTCGTCACCAATGAGCGCCAGGAACAACTTTGGCTTCAACGACATCCCTCACAGGGTCTAAAGGGTTTTGCACCTATTTTTCCGACTATTGCTCTCGATTTTCTCTTCTTGATATGGCCGTGAGAGAAGCCTCTCATGCCGGCTCGTGGTACTCTGGCAATGGACGACAACTGGCAGCCCAGCTCGACCAGTGGTTGTCCCAAGTGCCCGAGACAAGCATCATTCCTGGTGTTGACAGCTTGCCCTTAGCGGGAGCCAGAGTAGTTATATCTCCTCACGCAGGGTACGCCTACTCGGGTCCTTGTGCAGCATGGGCCTACAAGTGCCTCGACCTCTCCAAAGCCAAGCGTATCTTCATCCTCCACCCGTCTCATCACCATCACTTGAGCACGGCTGCGCTCCCAGTTGTGGACGCCTACGAGACACCGCTCTCCAACACTCCTCTCCCCCTCGATCACGAGACTATCGATGAATTGTCCACCCTCTCCGCGGTTGTCCAAGGTCGCACTGTCAAGTTCACCACCATGTCTCAGCCGGTGGACGAAGCCGAACACAGCGCCGAAATGCAGCTGCCGTACATCCACCGACTCCTCCAAAAGCTATACCCTGACAAGTCCGAGTCATCATACCCTCCTCTCGTCCCCATCATGGTTGGGGGAACGAACCCTGCCACCGAGGCTGCATTGGGAAGAATGTTGGCTCCATACATCGCGGATGAAGGTAATGCATTCGTCATCTCCTCGGACTTCTGCCATTGGGGAAGTCGATTCGGCTACACTTATTACCTCCCTGACGCACCCAGCCCGGCCTTGTCGCCGATGACGCTTCCCAATGGGGTACGGGGAGAGTCTACCACGGCAAAGGAGTCGGTCAACGAAGATGTGCACAAGATGCCCACATTGGGGCTGGGTCAAAATCTCGGCTCCAGGACTCAGGTTTCAAAAGGTGGACCACAGATATTTGAGAGCATCGCACACGCTGACAGAGCTTGCATGTGTGCCATCGCCACGGGACAACATTCAGAATTCCTCCGCGTGCTCAAGGAGACCGGGAACACCGTGTGTGGACGACACCCCATAGGCGTCTTCATGGCTGGCCTTGAAGAGGTGGAGCGACTGGAAAGGGAGAAAGGTGGCGACCCGGCGGACCGCAGACGATTCAGGTTCGTGCGGTACGAACGCAGCAGTGATGCCGAGACTGTCAGAGACAGCAGCGTCAGCTACGTGAGTGCTTTTGCGGTCCTCTAAAGCCGTTGCTGGTCGTTCCGACCGCAAGTCGGACAGTGCCAACACAGCCAAGAGTGATGTGTGCCTCAAAGACGACGATTCTCTCAAACTAGACGAGATGGAGTCGTCCCGCGTGAGTCTCACAGAGTTCTGACACGCTTGCCTCGCGCAAGTGTTAAGCTGCTCGTGTCAGCATCTGTTCGAGAAGACGGCTTACCCCGCTCGAAAGAGGCACATTATTCAGGCATTCAGCCGGGGCCAGACAGTCAGCACGGGGTTCTGGGGCAGTTTTTCGTCCGGGGAGCCGAGATACTTGGGGATGAGGATCTGACACGCCAGAGAGAGAATACGCAAGCGCAAGGAGAGAGGCTGAAGCGTGCTGTAGAAGCCAAGGCAATGGCCATTTCCAAGATTGGGCTCACGCTGGAGTGTCAGGACGATTGTAGTCGTTTCTAGCTCTGGTTCGATATGCACGATACTGGCGGCCTGAAGTGGCACAAAATGCCTAGGTGAAGGCGTAGCGTGTATTCGTCGAGAGAGTTGTAAACACAGCGTATCCTCATACCAAGCGGAAGACGGATACCAAGTCCGAGACCAGGGCCATCCTTGCTCGCCGATTGACGCTTTCGCTGTTCCGGGGGCCAAGCTCCAGAAAGGGAAGTATCAAGAAGATGGAGATCGACGTCATTGCCTAGGCACAACCAACGTAGGGGGTACCATTGCTGTCAAAATCCCCAACTAGATCTTGGTAGGCAGGGAAGTACCGGGGACCGGAATATATCCTTCGCACTACCTACCGAGCTACGCACGCATACCTGGGCAGGCAAGAGGCTAGGAAGGGTACGAAGGACGTAATACCTATGTAGCTACGAGATGTGGAAGTTCGTTATGTAGGGCTGGTGGTCGAAGTGGGGGTAAATGAATGTCAGGGACTGAACCCCAGCGTCGACCCCCGTTATTGATGAGCCCTAATAATTCTCCGTACTGAGTACAGGTAGAACATTCGAGATACATGGCGTGACATATAACATCCGGGGGGGGTGGGGGGAGGGTGGTTCGTAATGATGACTACCTCAACCACCACCACCACCACCACCACCACAACCATGGAAATTACGTGGTAATGCTATCGGTCGAGCTATGTAGCGAGTACAATATGTGCCCGAGGGCAAGGAGAGACCATCCGAAGAAGCCAAATACCTACAAAACTAACTTTGCTAGTTTTCTGGCCACCGGCTAATAAGAAGCAGTCCTCACAAATTCCCATACCTGATGTAATGCAAGTTGTAGATGAGTGGAGGGAAAGTCCCCAGGCTGGAGCCGGTCTGGGGACAAAGGTTACGGCGCGGGGGAGAAAGGGGGGGGGTGGCCGCCAAGCTCGAGAAAATTCCCCGCTTTTTGCAAAAAGGCAATCGAGCATGGATCGGGGTTCTTGGTGCATATCAGCCCCAGTGGTCGTGGGATGGGAAAGAGGGAGGGGAAACCGTGAAAATGCAAGGGTTGGGCAAGGCAAAGAGGCTAGCTAGTCTTGGTGCGAAGTCGGGGGTGCGCGCTTTTCTTCGCTGACCGAAGAATGGGCAAAATAGCTCACGCCCAAATAAAAAAAAATTGGCTATAAAACCTCCGATGAGGCCGAAAGGGCCAATAGGGCCGGCTCACTAGCGTCACCCGGTGTGCCCTGTCGACTGCAAGCGAAGGGGGATTGAATAAACGGGCGAGGTCACTTGACGTCTCGAAAAGTTGTCGAAGAAAGGGGGATGATTGGAAAAGACCCCCCGTCCTGAAAAACCAGGAGTGTAGGAGGGAGCCAAGCGAGGGGAAGAATCCAAGGATCAGCCCATTTCCCCGCCATAGCAATGAGAGAGCTCCCTGGCGACCATCAACTGAGCTCTTTTTCCGGCCGTCAGGTGAAAATGCAACGAGGCGTGCGTCTGCCGAGCGTGCGATGAGCTGGACCTCGTCGCTATGTCAATAACTCCCAAGGCCTTGGCTGCTCGGTGCAACTTTGTTAATAGAGATCAGCAAACCCAGACTTTCCCGGCGCTAGAACCGTCCTTTTTCTTGGGGACTGTTTCTGCACCGCCAGGCGCGGCGATCTTCGATGCCAGCGCGCCAATCACTTGGCGGGGAGCTGATTGGGGGCCATTGGCGAACGGCGGAAGGCTTGGGCATGACGACAATCAAACAACATTCCAGCAGCGACAGCTCAGCAAGCCCTGCGATCCCGACGATCCTTCATTCTACCATGACGTGGCGCCGTCGAATATCCTTTTGATAACCGGGGATTGTGGGAAAGCTCCGCCATGAGCAAGAACCGCTTCGTCATGCGCTCTGCTGCCCGAGTCCGACGTCCCTCTGGCTTTTGGGGGTAGCGGTGTCAAAAGTGCAAAAATGGAAAAGAAAAGGAAAATGGCTGAAGGCAAGGAACATAGCATTATAGTGTATTAGCCAAAACGATGGAAAGTTTTTTTTAGAGCAGAACTGTCCAGAACCAAGCAACGCAGATTGGGGTATCCAAAGAGACGTAGTATTGCTTTGCCGATTCCCAGCTCCGTACAGCACCGCACCTCCCCCAGTGTGATTGATCCATGCCTCTCCGGCGGCGTCATATTCTGTGATAGACAAAAGACATATTTCTTCGAGTAGTTTTGCGCGTTCCCTCCACGTATGTAGTGTGCGCTGGAATTATCGAATGCGGCGATGTTTTCGACGCGCGTCAGCCAATCGTGCAGGTCGCCTACACGGAGCTGTCGGTCTTGTCCTCGGTGCGAGCTGCTCTGCCCTTCTCCGACCAGGGGAAGTGGAGGACGGGGACGATGAAGAAGCTGTTCGAGGTGTCGGCGATACCGGCGAGGGCATTGTACCAGGCCAAAAAGGCGGCCAGGATGCCAAAAGCACCACCTGCACGGGTCAGGCCGGTGTGAGGAGCGCCGTTCTCGAGAACCAGGTAGGAGCAGCCCAACATCAAGAATGCCAGATCCAGGGTGAAGAACAGGAGGAAGAAGGCCACGGTAGACTTGAGGGTGCAGATGAGGAGGAGGAAGGTGAAGATGAACCAGCCCTGTAGTTTCCCAGTTAGAACTGCGCTGTTGAACATGCACCATGCGATGGGGCACCACTTTACCATCAAGTAGAAGCCTAGGCAGTCAAACAGAGCCTTGGTGCTCTGCTGCTCTGTAATGGTCGCTTCAATCTCGAAGCCACCGGGAGTGAGGATGATGGCAAAGGAGATCCAGAAACCGCCATAGGAGGACAACGCGGTAGCACCGAAGGTGTTGCCGACTGCCATTTCCCTGTAGGTGGGCTGTTAGTGATGACCGAGAATCATGCCGCCAGAACAACTTACCACATGCCAGCCAGGAGCTGCACGAGACCACCATAACCAAAGGCGAGAGAGATGACAATGGCCGGGACTTTGATATTTCGGGTTCCCAGGTTGATCAAGCTGAGGACGAAGGTGGTCAAGGCGAAAGCGCACAAGCCCAGAGGAGCCGGGTTGGCGAACTTGCGCTTCTCGACGCCTCTGTAGAGACCGGGTTGGAATTCACCACCGAAGGCTGTAAATCAACCCGTCAGTCCACCAGTCTAGAACTTGGCAAGGAAGATCAAACTCACCGGGCAGCGTGGCATCCAAGTTTGTTCGCATATGAGCCAAAGGACCATATCCGAAGCGAGCGGCGTTTTGAGCCGCCGTCTTCTCTTCGTGGCTCATTCCTCGTGTGGCTTTTTCGAAGTCCTGGGCATGGGTCGAGGTGTCGCCGTTGACTGCTGAGTTGACAGCGTTATGTTCGGTGTTGGTGGCCATGGTGAATGGAGCTTTGGAGGGGGCAGGAGGATGTTTTCGACAGGTTAAGAGTACGACGTAGTGTAGCTACTCGAATGGATGCACTTTGCAACGAACTAGGTCACCAAAGGCACACTGAAAGAGCCGGCAAGGGGGGATGGGAAGGGAGAGAAGGGTCCGTCGTGAGAAGGGGATCTACGAGTGTTTATGTATTGCTCTGGGATCGCGCGTCCCAGCACAGGACACCCCGGAGGCAGTCAAAGCTAGGGTCTTCTGGGGAATGGAGGGCAGGGGGAAGCAGGAGGGCTGTGGCCACTGGCCAGTTGTCGGAATCGGCGGGGAGGAAGTTTTTTCTCGTGTCTGTTCACGGCATTGCGTTTCTGGTGGACCGACGTTTTGCAAAGACTCCATGGAACGGTTGAAACAAGACTAAGGCACTGGATCGCGGCCGGGGAGTGGACAGACAGCTGTTGGGAAGGGGGTGGGCTGGTGGGCTGGTGGACAGATGACAAGGTTGAGAAATGATCACCTGCGTTGTTGGAGCCATGGGTTGAGTTCATGCCTGCTTTGGGGGGGCACCAGATCTGTCCGGAGGACGGAGGATGCGAGCAAAGGGCGACCAGGGCGATGACGGGGGGTTTTGGGATGCACTGTTTGTGGAAGCGATCTGAATGGGCCGGAGAAGCGAAGAGTTGCATTTATTGCCGTTTAGCCTGTTATTGGCGACGGGCGAATGACTGCAAACCGCAAAGGCGCCTTTGGCTGTCCGGAGGGTGGAGACCCTGTCTGGATTTGCGGTCGAGCGGAGGAAGAACAAGATGCGACTCTGACCCAATACGGCGAACGGGCGATCGTCCAGGGCGAAAGGCACGACAGAGACTACAGGGACGAAGGTGCAAAGAGTCACGCCACGGAGAGAAGAGAGGGCGCTTGGCATTGGCATCGGCACGCTGGCAGCAGGGGGCGATTGTATGTTCTAGACTTGCAGTCATGACGGCAGGTCTGTATGTCAAAAGAGATGCAAATTAATACCATCCAAGTACGCGATGCTGCAGAACAAGACAGAGGGAAAAAGAGCGAAGATCTGCCAGCGGAAGAAGAAGTGGAGACGTGACAAATGCACTACTTGGTACGCAGCCACTACGCGCCGGAGGAAGAGGAAGATGATGACGACGGTGGGTGAAAGAATGAATGATGAAAAAAGCAGGTGGATGATGATGATGGGCAACCGATGGGGAATGGCATGGGCCATGCAGATGCTGCTATTCCTCCCTGCTCCTCCTCCCTGCGACCACAGAAATTAATTAGCCGTGAAACCAGCCAGCCAGAAGAATAGAAGAGAGGAAATGCAACACACAGCTTCCCAACTGGAAACGGCGGTCAACCACAAGAACTATTACAACTGCCCTCTTGTTTGTACTTGCAAATAGTGCAAGTAGCTGCTGGCAGGCTCGTAGGGTGCGAGGTATGGAGTACTCTGTATTACTCAGTAGACACGACTAGCAATCGCCACCACCTTTCCCCGTCACTTTCACTTTCACCTTCACTTCACCTTCACCTCACTTTCACCTCACTTTCACCTCGATCACTTCCGCCAGAGCTTCACCCAAAACGGGTCAATACCCGAAATGCTCAACCCACCAGTTGCTCCTCTTGTTCGTTCTCTACTTGTACTCGTCCTCCACGTCTCCAGCTTTTTTCACCCTTCGTCCCAATGACTGTAATATTGTTGTCGCCGTCGTTCTCGTCGCCGCTCCTCTTGCGCACACTCCGGGACATGGTTCACTGTCTCCTCCCACGTATTCGCTACATTCGCTTGCCGGTTTGCCTGGTGCCCGACGCCTCTTACATCACCTTGAATCCAGCTGCACCAACAGCTCAGCAGCCTTGACAAGCCACACCGCAGTCCATCAAGATCTCGATTCGTCCACAGCCCTCCGAAACCTCTTGGACTCGCGCCTAACCTCCCGCAAAACCGTATTCCTTGCCGTCACACCAGATTTGTCACGGATCACGAGATATCTACCTTTCCCACTTGCTCTGTGCCAGCCCAAGCAGCGGCATCTGTGAGCGCCACGCTTCTGGCCCTTCCGTCGACTTCCGCCGTCGGCCTCGGTACTGTCTTTCAAACGAGCCACGCGGAATCCCTTCCTACCATCTCACCGCTCGCCTGCCTCTTTCGCCAATGTTCTAGAAGACTTCGCCGCCCGACTCCTTTTCTGCTTCCAAACCTTCTCTTAACCACCCGATCTATATTCGAACATCAGGCTGACTCCGTCTTACTACCACCACCTCGGGACTCTGCGATTGCACTAACACCCCCATATCGACTCCATCTCCTAATTTCACCATAATTTGCCACTTCCATTGCCCCGGGTTTCTTCATGGGGTTCTCCTAATTCACGTGGCGTGCCTGTTGTTCTCGCTGATGTGCCGCTTGAGTTGCCGACATCGCTAATAACAAATCACACCACTTCTCGCCTAGATCTCAGTCGACCCCTTGCTAACGTCCTTGGCACAATCTCTTTTCCTGCTGCTTCTCGAACGCTGAAGACGTACGTTCGGTGTCTACATTTGCACATCCTAGGGGTCTGTCAGAATTGGCAGATGCGCCCACTGTTGCTGGCGGCGCACAGTGAACCACCCGCTTTATCTGAGCAGCGGCGAAACCCTGTGCGTAGTTGCGCAGGTTCTTGTTCCGGTGTGTGAATATCTTGAATCCAGGCCAGGTTGCACCTCAACGTCCGAGAGGGATCACCTAGGCTGTCGATACCGCATCTTGACGGGTCAATGCAAACCATATGAAGCCCAACCTAACTCGGCGAGAATTATGAGCCTCACGTCGTTCTGTGTTTGACGCCTATGTACTGTTCTACAGCCGTACTGTGATGAGAAGTCCCAAGTTGATGCATTGGGTGTTGAAGCTGCTCTCGGCTCATTCAAGTAGGCCTTTACCATCAACCAGGTAGCTGCGGGGATTGTGTGAGAAAGGAACCCTGGACACGCGAGTCGCGCCCTCGAAGCTAGGCTTGTCTAGAGTCCCCGGTTTGAAGAACGGGAACGGCCGTCTGCTCTTCTCTGCGGCTTGGAAAACAATGAAGGGCAACGTGGCGAAGTGTATAGGTAGGTGTTTGTTAATCCTCCCGCTCTCTTCATCGAATCCTTCAAACGCCAAGTGTCAGTCATGTGGACAATGAGAATCCCAAGAATACTGGTATACCAGGCTTGTGAGCGAACATCGATCAGGGAACCGAGCCAGTAAACGATGGGAATAGCACCGAAAGATTGGCCCATTGGTGGTAAATCCTGGTGGTGTCCCAAAGCAACGAATGATTTTCCAGCCAGGAGAGAGAGAGAAATAAACAAAACCAATGTTGACAAGAGTTGAGAAAGGGCATAAGTCTCGGAATGGCACTGGGGGCGAACCCAGTATTGACGATCAAGAGGAGATGCTTCATCGCTTTCCAGGAGCACAAAAGACGGAGCATCACACTCTCGCCACTCGCGACACAGGAATGAGAGACCATTGGCCTATGGTATCAGATATCCCGGACCTTTTGCTGAAGCAGGGCAATACCTCCAAGAACATCTGCAACCAAGCCTCGACTGCCGATGTTTGGCAGCCCACCTGGGTCCAGCGCAAGCGTCCCCAGTACAAGCATTCAGCGCATTTTCCTCCTCGGTGCCTGCAAAAATCTCTCTCCGAAGCCCTTTTCCCTGGTAGGTATATGAAGATGGCTGGCATAACCAGCCCAACAATTATCGTCGCATATCTGGAAGCCAGTCGTGGCCGTAGGGACAACTTTTGCCTCGTCAACAGTTGCAAGTCTGCAGAAACTCACCACACAGGCACGGCTTACCTTTGAGGATCTGTGATCAATGGCTGATAGCCTGCCCTGCTCGAAGCCGCAGCAGCAGGACCACTGGCAAATTGGGCAATGTGTCTGTCGACATTACTGATAAGATTCGCGAGCCTATGGCGAGTTCCTGACCCTGGTCTGTATGGCTCTTCGCAGGGCAGCGTGGCGAGATATTGTTGCATCTGATACTTGGGGCCAGCCAACTGATCTGTCGGCACTAGTAGACATCAGCAGCAGCACCAGCATTGGAGGGAAAGGCCAAGTCCGCAACACGAAACAGGGGATCCGCGGCAAAAATTGATCAAGACACACTGACTGTTTCTAGGTATAGAGTTTGACTGCATGACGAAAGTGTACCCGTTGTGGAAAGTGGCAATGCTATCAAGAAATGCCGCAGAGACTCAAGAAGCCCGCGAGCCCTAGTCAAGAAAGAACAGGTTGAAGAAAACAGATCCCGAGCCTTTGCACGGAGACGACTCTTTATATTTTACAGCGGCGGTCGGAAGTGGTCAACCACAATTGCGATAGACCGAGATTTGCAGGGCACTGGCTCAAGGGGACTTCGACAGCAACAAACATGGAAGAGGATGCTCACGTAACCCCTTCGAGCCCTGCTAGCATTCCGCTCCCTGACGTGGGATTTCAGGACCAGGACCCGGACCCTGGTACTGAGGCAGAGGATTAGAGGCCGATGGGAAGGAGTCTCCAAGCCGCTGCAACAGAGGTACATGAGTTTTGGCCCTCAGCCGGATATGGTTCGCACCACGGGTTTACAGTCTAGCCCGAAGACCGGGACACTCTGCAGATGCAGGCGCACCGGCTGCCAGTGCAACGGCGCAAGAGGTCTTTGCCCTAGGCGAAGGCCCTGCCTCGTTTAGGAAGGAGACGACCCGGGCAGCCTTTCATGTGAGAGACGTTGTCTCCCTCGATCCCGCAACTTGCTTTTCCGAAAATCGACCGGTGGAAGGAGATGCATGATGGCGTCGCAATATGCTTGTCGACAGAGTGCTAGTGTGCCTGGGACGGATCACTCGTCTTGGGCGTCAAGTGGAGTACCGAGTTTCGCCAGAGGGCGAGTGAACGGCTGCGGGACAGACGGGAGCGTGAGAGGATACAAGGCACTCTCCCTGGTTTGCAGCTTGGGCCTGTGGCCTTGAGTGACCGACTCGCCAATGGAATGCCCATACGAAGCGTCGATCGCAGTCCGGTCGAACTCCGGGAGGCAGAGGCAGAGGCAGAGGATTGCGGCTGGCACGCCAAATGACGGGCTGCTCGAGCAGCATTGCCATTGAGCGGAACCGGGGGTCTTTTCTATCTCATGCAGATACGAGGGGGGCAAGCAGGGCAAGTTTCTCCCATGGCGCACTGTGCAGAATCCTTCGAAACTCTATGCCATGGGAGTGGCCGGGGATGGCATCTTCCGCTCTCGGGGATAGGGGATTCTCATTCGCTTCCAAGCCTCTGGGACCTAGCACAGAAGTCGGAGACTCGGGAGTGCCTCGGGAGTCCCAGCTGTTTGGGGCGAGCTGCATGGGGCGTGGAGAGCTCGTAAACCTTGCTCTACGCCGCGGGGGGCCCAGGGGGATTCTGGTGTTGATCATGCCAAAGGTTAAACTTTCTCTTTTCTTCACG